TTGCAGAGAGACACAGGATTGGCTGCGGCCAGGTGGTCCAATATGTCTGCGCCCTAATCCGACGCCACACCACACCACATTAGTTATTTTTTGTAATGTTCTTGTGTTATTTATCATTCCTTACTCATAGGCAATAATTTTTCCTATCTCCTGGTTCTAAGTTACTCTTGTTGTAGTGCTGATTTCTGTCGTAAGCTGCTTTAAAGTATTCTGCGTGAGTGATAGTTCTCCCTTTAGACACATTTGACCCTCTATTGTAACATTGTTGTTAAAATTTTTGAGCGTTGCCTTAATTTCCATCTTCTAGCAATTAAGTTTGTTGCGAAGTCTATTTATGTGCAGTTTCACTTGCTTTATATGATGAGCTTAAATCTAAGATGGAATCCAAAGGATCGTAATTGCGGTGTTTTTTTGTTGCAGTAAATGCAAATAATCAGTCGTCTACACAATGTATTTCGAATTTGTAGCTCTTTTGGGCACTTTGTTGTAGGTTATCTCTAGTCGTCGTATCATTCTTACCCACAGTTTACTTTTGGTTACGCAACGTTTCCACAAATTCGTTCTTCATACTCATGTACCTTACTAAGTGTTTTAGGCTTTTTTTATTTATTACAGGCTTCTTCGACTGTTCGCAGTCTTGATGCGCCTGAACTGGAGAAGCTATATGTGCACGAGGTTCGTTGTGGGATACTATGGCTTCAATATTCTAATGAAATCGGCCTCTCAATAGCATTTCCCTAATCGTCAAAACATGGAGTTATGCCGGTTTCCTGAACATAATTTTTACCATTTTTTATAGCAACTATTTGCAACAATAAGCTATTGTTGTCGATGCTCTAATGCGTTGTCCTCGCATTTTTTTGCTTTTATTAAGGTGTACGACACCATCGCCGAAACCTTCAGTGCCTCTCGTTACGCCCCCTGGCCGGGCGTTTTGCGTTTCCTAAAATCCCGCCCCCCCGGAGCCTGGGGTGCTGATATTGGTTGTGGGAATGGCAAGTACCTCGTCGCTGCAGTCAAGGAGAGAGTCAATATCCTGCCGATGCTTGCTTCCGATTCTAGTGTCAAGCTCATTAATATAGTTCACGAGAGAGGTGACGCCATGCTCAGCCTGTTTTTACCTTTCCCAATATACCTCATAAAAACGGTATTGTTGATGTAGGCTTCGATGGTATTGCGGCGAATTTGCTTTCTTTGCCATACCGTCGAGGTATATTGGACTTCTTTATATGCATCGCTGTTCTGCACCACCTGGCAACACCAGAGCGGAGGATAGAGGGGATTCGTGTCATGGCAGACCTTCTAAGAGTGGGCGGCGAAGGCCTGATACAGGTGGGAAGTGCACTTTTTCATAACTCCAATCGGCAATATTGTTCGTTTTCATGTTCAAATGGTAGTCCTGTTTGCTTTTATACATGACAGTTTTTTTCTCTAGGCAGTTTAGGTTAATCTTCGCGTAAAGTGATATTTATGAATAATGTATTTGAAAGCGAACATTACATTTTTTGTTTAAGGTATGGGCTAAAGATCAGAAGTGGAGTGGACAACCTGCCGTCTATGTTGAGAAAAACGAAAGTTCAGCAACGCAGTGTTGTAACCATTCGCAACAATCTGAAAATGCTGTCGTTTTTCGAGACTCCACACTCTCTGTTCAGAAACCCCGTACTCCCTTTGTTGCTTCTGATGTGCTTCTACCGTGGAATGCGCGAAAGAAGGGCAAGTATGGCGCCCAAACACACTGTTGGGCGCTTTTATTCGATCAAACTCATAATTTACTTTTTTTCATAACTGCAACTTTAAGCCTCTCTTTGTAACTCTCCGTAAAACTAAATTTTTTTACAGGTGAGGATTCAACAAATTCGGCCGTGCATAATATAAATCGTTATTACCATGTCTTTGAAAAAGGCGAATTAGAAAACCTCATTTCTACGATTCCATGTGTCAAAATCGTCGACTGCGTGTATGAACAAGGCAATTGGTCTGCGATTATTCGAAAAATTGACTCGTCTTAGTTTTTCTACTTCTTATTGGATAATCAATAAAACAACTGTTTGCCTTTTTCCTGATTGCAGTTCCATACTTGGATTTAGCTCAACTTAGCATTATTTGGACATTACTGTAATTATCTAGAAGTCTTCCTGGTTGTTTGTTAGGATTTTAACGACGAAAGACCACTATTTGAAAAGAGTTTTGTAATTTGGATTTCTTGGCAATAAGTTCAGTTCGTGCTTGTGTGTTTGCTACGACGTATTCCACATTTCTGACAACCGAAGCTGCTGCCGTGATAAGTCCACGTAGTGGAGGGTTGCTACCGTGAAGGTTGCTCCAAGCTATTTCATTGCTTCCCAAACCTTTTTGTTAGTTTTTTTGGTGCTGAATGCGCAGCCAGATACGTCCTGTCACCTGGCCACTAGGGACGCTCCCACTGTCCGAGCTATATTTTAGATGCAGTTGTAAAGGTGCTAGTGTTCATGTTCTACTTATGCGGGTTCTGGGTGCCGCAGGGATTCAGCGTGCACTACAAATTCAAGAGAAGTGATCACTTAAAGGTAGCAGCACTGGAAACCAACAGAAGGCTTTTTACAATGTTCGAATATCAAGCGTCTGCCAGTGTGCTCGTGGGTTCGCACTATAGAAGAACCCAAATGTAACGGGTTGTGAAAACGTTCGTAACTTAAGTTTGTTAGGATAGAGCTCAAGTACTGTGATCTTTTAACACCATCATATTAGAAAATGCACACTTTGCTGTTGAAGTCGAACGAAAAGTGCTACCTAACAAAGTTTCGTAGATCATTTTGCGTATTATTTAACCTGTCAGCGCGTTTTAAAAATTATGGCCCCAAAATAATCGTCTTAGCACTTGGAAATTGTGGGAAATTAGGTGTTAGCTTCCGTAAGCTCGAACAGATCATGCAAGCTTCGAAAGGTACAGTTTTTGTATGCTCGTTAAGGAATCACTTATTTCGACATGATATTTTGTCTAGCGACTGATTATATGCAAGTAGTTTTGGCTTTTTGTAGCGACAGAGATTGCTCAGAATGTTACGTGAGGAGATTTTCTAAGAAAATGGCCGTCAAACATTTTGTGCATCCATCGTATTCACTCCTGTTTGGCATTTTTTTGAAGGTAACGAATGCAAAACACAGTTAATCTAGTGTATTTAAATAACATGAAAAGGTATTTGTCGAAGGCAAGCAAGGGAAATAACGGTGGTCTTCGCGATGTTTATCATTTGATAACCAGCTCCTTTTGCATAAATTGAAGTACTTGGCACTGCGCTCTCCGTTTGTAATTCAACTGAACTACAGGCAAAATACGTTGAATCGCGATTCAGACAGCGTACAGAAAGTGATAGATCCTTCAAACAAGTCTGGTATTTCGTCAGTCTCTAGGCTGGGTAAATTATCAATCACCATGGTAATATTCAACGTTAGACGGTCCACACATTGCGCTATTTTTACGTCACCTGCCAACAGGATGTGAAGGGTTTAATTATCACTTACTTTTGCATCTTTTATGGCCTCCTCAGTGTTGCATTGACAGACAGCAAATATTCGCCAGAGATTATTTCTAATGCATTAAAAGTCGGTTTTATGAGTATCACCGCAGGTAACTTTGTTTAGACTAGAACCGTCCTTGCTTCATGCAGAATTTTCCTGGAATCCATGCACGAGTAGAATAAATTGAACAGACCCAGAGCTATTTCACAAGATGTGTGGGCCTGTGATTTGTTTGAATTCCTCACGAGTGGATGTTGAGGGCCCCAGCAAGTGGTCTTAAACAACGCAAGGACACCGCGTTGAAACAGCCCGTTTGTGACGCGCGCCATTCGACCCACGCACGCCGGTCTGGCCTGTTCTTTGTCCGCCTCTCCCTTCCCACACTCTCGCCTTCCTCAAGGCACGCCCGTGAGTCCGAGGGCAACACCAACCCTCCTTGCGGCCATCCCTTTCCCCACTCTAACTCTCCCTAAGCTCTAGACCTCTGAGTTTGTATGAGGTAGTACTGAATACACCCGGTTCTTCCAGCTATTTCTCTATCGTGTGCCTGGTAGCTAACCATGATGGTGTGGCTATCCGAGAGGGACGGGCTAACAGTCATCTCCCTATTTAGGTCCCCGCTCGGTAGGCGCGTTACACGTTTACGCCAAACAGATAACCGAGAAGGCTTGGATACAAAAGGCAGCCGAGATATTGGTAACTAGATCGCTCAACCTATTAGTATATTGTGCTTTCACAATCGTACATGCCTAATGTAGCTAATAACTAAAGCGGTTTGAGTTAACTATTTGACGTAATAGCGATCGAATAGCCAGATGAATGAAACAGGTGTCGGGGAACGTACATTCCTAGAAGTGCTGGATCAGACTGTCTCGCATCGCTGGAGGGGAAGGTAGAGTGCCAAAGAATGCAGCAAACAGGTTAATGGATGTAAATCAATGCGTTTTACTAGTGGATATTACTAAAGCTCAATATTAAAAATTTGGCTATCACGTAGGCTATAGGCATTAGGTAATTTTTGAGAACCTTAGATGTCAAGGAAGTTCGAACACATCTGCGGGTTCTTTTCACAGATTATAGTGCAGGTCTAACATATACTTACGTAATCCGTTTCTAATAAAGGGAGAAAAATCGTTAAATGTGCACCAAACATGTAACGGATTTCGACATGAAGAAGATGTAAGGATCTATTGTATACATGGTCAAGGATTGAATGTATTGAAAGATTGGAATGCACATAGTCTCTTTTCAAATACTGGACAGCATTTGAGCAAATGTGTTAACAGACAACTTCAAGGGGTACTAGGTCCGTGTGACAATCTGGAAAGCGTTGCCTGTTTAAACATTGTAAGTAGCATTGTCATGTCTTAACCATCAGATGTACTGCATGGGAGCCAGTGAACTCGAGCCGCATGCTTGGGCAGGCGCCTGTGTTGGCTTACATTTGATGCAGATTAATGCAAGTTGGCAAAAGTGACTTGAATGTGAGCCTTGCAAAGCAATTAGATTGAACTTTTTGCTCATTCAACTTGTGCACCACTGTCAGTCATGGTTAAGTTGTCTAATGCCACCACTGTTGTGCAATCGAGAGGCATCATTGCTGGAGCTGTATTTTTCCTCAGGAGTGATGATCACGCCAAAACACAACAAAAAAGGTGAGTGAAATTAACGAAATGGCGATGTGTTGAATGCTACTACTTGGAGTGTTCAGTGCAATTCGAAAGTGTGAATAGTTGTGCCACGCAAATATTTCATGGATGGATACGGCGACATCAGTAAACAGTCACACTTGCCTCTAAAATGAGGAAACTTAGTTTACTGTCAGGTGTAGTGTATACGGAAGCAAGTGCCGGCAGCGTAAATCGAGGCTGCTGCTGCTGCTGAAGCAGATTTTAAATCCATGTCATGAGGCTATTCTAAATGCGGTCTGAAAAAAACGGAGTACAACTCGTCCTAATAGTCGCTTATACGACAGAGAAGACCTGGAGTACGTGGTCGCACAGGCTCGTGGGTTCTGTTGATGCATGGATCAAGTGCTAGCCTGGATGCAGGCCCGACTAGTTCAAGTGGCATCACCAGGGCGCCTTGTTGAGACAGTTTGACCACCTTGTAATTCCTCCTAACTTTGTGTACTAATGACACATATGTAGGTCACACTGCTTATACATAACACCACACATGAATTTAAGGCCATTTAAAACCGACATCTGCAGTATCTCTTAAAGTGGAATGCTCAATCGAGAATCGCACACTTTGACTTGAGCACGAATTAAATTTTGATCAATAGAACCGTGTCGGTGTGCAACCACACCACATCTTATGTGGACTCTTTAGGTTGGCAAATGGGGCTAAATGTGTGAGACAGGATTAAGATGCCTTTTGACATCGCGTTTTTGGCCTGGCATTCACGTCCTGCGCTTTCGCTTTTTTACCCCGTGCTTAGTCCAAAGATACACGAAATTCCATTTACGCAACACGGTGAACGCGAATCCTTTGTTCTTGAGGCAGCCAGACACGAGGGATGCTGGTGGAAGGTGAAAACCCAATTTATGGACTCGACATGGGGTCATGACCACCAAACTGGCGATTTGGTGTGTCAGTATTGTGTAATCTCGTTTAGTGCACGTGTCTGCAGCTTGTGCGTGTTAAGCAGGATTTATATTACGAGAACACAGATTGATGCAGACTAGCAGCTACTGAGCGTCGAGGCTAATCCCAGAGGCTCTAAACTCATCTGGTTACCTTTATAGTAATTGTTAATTGACACTCAGATTTCTTTAGTCCAAAGCCATCTCTCATTAGCCAGTCTCCCTTTAGTGAACGTGATCCAGGCATTAGCTGTGTTGATTTTCTGATTAACTTGCATCTACTTGGTCGCTGCCATTGATTTTGTCAAATTTTGGTGTGCTGGCTATCGCAATAGGTTTTCAGTGAGTTGGTCGTGCGTGTTGTGGAAACTAAAACCGAAAGTCCATAGAATCAATAAGCAAATGCCTTGACAAACTCGAGTTTCTCATGTGGCGTGCAAAGACAATGCAGAAGGACCTCGCGCAGGAGGCTGTTGGTGTCACGGCTGAGAGCACGTGAACGTGCCAGGGTGCATTTGCCGTGGACGATCGTGATATCTGGATTGAGATGATAATTACGGATGTTGGCGGTTGGTGGGAATGAAAACTTGTGTGGATGGTGTTGCAGACGCCCTCAGAAGTTGGAGGGCTCAGTTGGGTTTGGATCAACGATTCCACTTTTGTTTAAGTTTCAGCATTTCTCCAAAAGCGGCTTATTAAGAAAAGCTTTGAATTTCTGAAAAACGAGCTGACATTCCTAATTCGAGCACGAAGTGTTAGCAGGATGTGTATACAAACATCGACTTGTACAATACTGGCAAAAGAAAACCATTTGTGAGTGCCTATGGAGTCAAAGTTCGACAGGCATCAAATTGTACTCATTGATGTTCCATCCCAACGAGAGATTAGCTGAGAAGTCAGTGTAAAATGGAGTGGTGAGCTTG